AATAAAAAAAGATACTAGTTCAGTACTAATTCAACACGAGAAGGGATATCCATTAAAGTAAACAGAAAGAAAGGAAGAAAGAAAGAAAAATGATATGTATGATTGCCGGCTTCATCAAGACTCGTCAGACTCGTCAGCCGCTTTGGTCACCGTCGGAACGGTCGGTGTTGCTGTTTCAGTCTCATCGTTCGACTCCTCAGTTTGTCCCTCCTCGGGCTTGCTTGCTTCATTGCTCATGCTGTCCTCGGTTACCTCTGCTGGAGAGGTGATCGTCTCTGTGTCCGTTTCCGCGTCCGTGGTCGTGTCCTCGGTCGACGCTTCTGGCTCGTTCTCGACTCCTGGTTCGCCGAGATTGGTTTCGCTCTCAGCTGATGTCTCCTGCTCTTTAGCCTCAGCAGCTGTCTCTTGTTGCTGCCATGTCTGCTCAGCGGCGTCTGGGTTGCATTCCGCGTCCTCGTCCACCTCGGGCAATTTCTCCCGCTGTTCATCTTCCACACCCTCCGCGATCGTCGTCACGCTCGAGCCTGTCGATGGGCTGTGCTTGTGACGTCGAGTGGTCGCGCCCGTGCTGATCGACGGTGACTCCGTTTCTTCATACTGAGGACGAGACACTCCGTCGCTCTCCTTCCGCAGGATAGAGAATCGCCGGCCTTCTTCCGGGAAAGGTGACTCCGCAGCGCTCGTCGCCTTATTGTTGTTTTCGTAAGCAGCCGCTCCTTCGGCCTCGCGGGGAACGGTGTAGTTGTCCTCCGGAATCAGATTGTACACATCGCAAACAGTCTTGAAAAAAACGTAGAGACCGTCATGGCCCTCCACCTGCCAAAAGACCCCCCGATGCTGAAACCAGGCGTGTGCAAAGATCCGGTACAGTCGACGGAAGATGTTCGTGAGATGCCTCATGCTGGCCTGAGGGCCTCCGGCAGCCTCCGAGCCCAACGTGAGTCGACTGGGGAAATATTTGGGCGAGGTCAAAATGTTCGTCGCCCAGTCGAGGGTGTGACAGCAGTAATCAATCGCGCAGCACGACTTGGGAGGATCGTGGACGGCACAGAGGTACTGCCACTCCGACGCACGCATCTCGGGACAGGTCTGCGCCGAACAAGGCGGATCTTCAGCGAAGAAGGCAATGATCAGGTTGTTGACTTTCATCGTGAGGAAGCGGCAGAGTTCGTAGAGCCAGAGGGAGCGTTCCACGCCTTCGGGCGGTTCGGCCAGAGAGAGGGCGACTTCGCGGTTTATCGGCACAACGGTGCGAGACCCATCGGGCTTTGTGTAGTGGTGGTAGAGCGCTTTGAGGTGTTCTTGTAGCTGGAACGGTGAATCGAGCTATAGGGGAGAGGATCAGTACGACAGTACGATATATACGAGATCTAGCTGTCCTGTTTACAACACTCACCTGCGAGAGCGGCACCAGCGGAGGCCCCGACGCCATGTCTGCAGCCTTGGTGCCCGGCCGTATCCTCCGTTTGGAGTCATCATCTGCCTCTGCCAACAGCTGCTCGCCTGCGCTCCCCAACGACTCTCCTACCCTGGGCGACTTTGGCCCGATCTGGACCTCTGTGAAGGGCGGAGGACTGGGCAGGCGAGGAGAGCTCGACGGAGAGACTCCCGCAGCAGTCATGGCGGTGACACTCGTCGTCGCAGGAGTCTTCACCGAAGAACGGACGGGAGAGGAGGGAAATAAAGGGGGGAGCGAGGGACAGAGAGGGTGGTCGAAGTCGACATCAACATCGACATCGCGGAGCTCTCCGTCGGGCGCTTCGAAGAGGCACCAGTCCATCGCAGCCCTAAGCCCTAACTCCTGTCCGTTTTGGGACGGCAGTCTGGGGTTCTTCCGTCAGCTAGTTCGATGCAACTTCGACGACCGTCAACTTGTCTGTCTTTCCAGGCAAGGAATATTATTTTTCGTTTCGTTTCTTTTCCCTTATTTCGCGTCTCTGACTGTCGTTGCCTGTTCAAAATGGATGACGACGAGGCACCTCCAGAGCTGGTCGATGTGACGACATTGCCATTCACCGATAAGGCAAAGTTATCGCAGGCAGAGGAGCCCGCGGCCAGTCGAGTGCCTATTACTCTAGTGACCGGTAGGAAGGCGCTGCCCAGCTTGGAAGGAAGGAGAAGACAAGCCAAGACGTCTTGTCTTGTCTTTTCTCTTCTTATCGCATGTAGGGCAAGAAGTTAACTGCTGTAGGCTACTTGGGCGCGGGCAAAACGACCCTGCTCAACTATATCCTCAACGAGAAGCATGGCAAGAGGATTGCAGTGATCATGAATGGCTCGTTCACCTGCTCTGGATAGCCTCAGGACCTTACTAATTCATGATTAGAATTCGGAGACTGTATGTAAGAATTTGTCCTGGCAGGATCAGGCTGTTCTGGCTATGGGCTTACCGGACTGTCACCCAGCTACGGATATTGAAAAATCTCTGACCGTCAGCCAGAATGGTCAAGAGGTTACTGAATGGCTCGACGTTGGAAATGGGTGCATCTGTTGCTCTGTCAAGTATTTATCCCCAGGGCGTTTGTTCTCGGGGATAGGGCGTATGATGACTAACTCTTGCAAGGGATTCTGGAGTCATGGCCATCGAGTCTCTCATGGAACGTCGAGGGACATTTGACTACATTCTGTTGGAAACAACCGGCCTGGCCGACCCTGGCAACATCGCGCCGCTCTTCTGGGTAGACGACGGCCTGGGCAGTTCAATCTACCTGGATGGGATCGTCACGCTCGTGGACGCAAAGAACATCCTGCGTCTCCTTGACGAGCCGGCCCCCGAAGAGACGACGCACGCAGGACATGAAGACCACTCCGGTCCCGCCCTGACCATGGCACATCTTCAAATCTCCCACGCGGACGTGATCATCCTCAACAAGAGCGACCTCGTCCCGCCAGAGGAGCTGGAGCAGGTCCGCCAGCGGGTCACGTCGATCAACGGCGCGGCCAAAATCCACGTTACGGATCACAGTCGGACGCCGCAGATCGAGGGCGTGGTGCTGGATCTGCACGCGTACGATCATCTGTCCAGTCTCGACTTCCGGGAGAAAGGCCATGCTCACATTGACCCGAAAATCTCCACCATCGCCATCACACATCCGGCGATCTCAGCGGAGAAGATTCCGCAGGTTGATGCCTGGCTGCGTTCCGTGCTGTGGGAGAACGTCCTGCCTCCGTCACCGTCTACTGGTGAGAGTGACGATGCTCCTCCCCACCCAACAGACTTTGAGATCCATCGCCTGAAGGGCATCCTGGCTCTGGATGACGGCTCCTTCAAAGTCATCCAGGCCGTTCGAGAGGTGTTTGAGATCCGCGATTCGGAGAACCGCCGCGATGCTCCAGACCACTGCAAGATCGTTCTCATCGGGCGTGGCCTGGGTGCCAGCATTACGCCGTGGGAGCGTAGTTTCCGGTCATTTCTTGAGCAGGCTGGGTAGATAACCTATATCAGATATAATTCTCTACGCGTTTTGCGTTGGTGATTCATCTCAGCAAGAGATAATGAATCCCTAAGACTAGTCAAATGCGTCATGACAAAAACTCATAGAAAAAGGGAAGAAAGAAAAAAAACAAGATACTCCTCATCTAATGAATACACGAATACGAGAATAAATAAACGAAATGAATAAAAAGAAAGAATAAACGAATAAATTAACCAAGATAGTAGACTGCCGTCAGTCGTCATTACGATACGCTCATTCTTCCCTTTTTCAGGAACTTGAAGTAACAATATCATACGACCCAAACCAAGCTTTTTTTCCCCCTTGGAAGAAAAAGTCTTTCAGTACAGTACCAGGTAGTATAGATGTCTCTCTGTATGCATGCGAGCTGGGCATTAATTATGTCTGTCTGTGTACTTGGTACAGACCTCAAAAAAGTAAAAGAAATAAAGAAAGAAAGAATATCAGGACCCTTTGGTACTGAATCGGTAGATGTCTATGTACTGTACTGTACTAATAATGTGCTGCTGTACTGTACTGTGTGTATATTTGTGAGATTGAGCCTAATTAACCTCTCTTTCTCTCTCATGTGACTGACATGTGACCTGGTGTGGTTCTCCACAAGTATGTATCTATATTTCAATTTTGTATTCTGTGCAGACTATTTATTAAAAGTCATGACATGTTATCTATCGCATTCTTGCGCCCGCCAACGGTGAACTGTCCATCCCTCCACCAAGGTCTAGCGTATCATCCTCGTCAAGACCGACGTGGACGGCCGGCGAGAAGAGCGGACTGTTGGCGACACGTGGCCGGCTCTTGAATACGCTGGCGTAGTCTGCGTCTTCGGAGAAGAGCTCGTCACGCGGTGTGGATGCCCCCGAGCGCGATGGAGGTTCGGGCCGTTGCTGCTGCTGCTGCTGCTGTTGCTGCTGTTTGGTAGGAGTCTCGAATGGGTTGACGGGGAACTGCTGGGATTGCCGAGGTGGGCGGCGGAAGGATGCCGATTGTCGGGGCGGAGGGAGAAGGGACATGGACTGGCGGGTGCGTTCGACGAGGGTGGATGGTCGTGTTTCGGCCTGGGTTGTTGGAAGAGATGGCAGCTCTGGTTCAGGGCTGGCAGACTGCTGTCGGTCTAGAGCATCGTCTTCGGGCGAAGGAGACGCAGCACGTGACGCGGCAGCTGATGCCAAACCGAAAGGCTGCCTTGAGGAATATTTTGCTTGGGGCGGATCAGGGCTTGGAGCGCGAGACTTGAGATCTGGAGTAGTGACGGTAATATTGGGAGATGGCGTCGGAGCACGGTTGTCTTCATCAGGGATAGGGGACAGTGCTGTCGCATCGTGCGTGCTTTCGCTTCGTTGTACCTTGCGAGGAGCATCTTGAGATTCTGATCGAACTCTAGGAACAGTTTCGCCCTTGACCTTAGCAAGAGCCTCCTTCATTGATGACAGAAGATCTTCATGTCTTTCGTCCAGCGCCCCCCGCACTCCCGTCGGTTGTCGCACCGTCTTCGAAATGCTGGCCACCGACAATGTCTGGTGCTCCCGGAAGACAAGACTCTTGTTCTTGGAGCGAGCTTGCTGCCCTTCTTTCGGCTCATTCTCTTCTTCCTTCTGGATCGCCTCCCGGAACTCCTGCCACTGGCGCAGACGGTCCCGCTGCTGTGAGAGGCGGTGCTCCAGGTCCAGCAAAAGGTCAGCCGTGTGAGGCTTTTTGAGATCGCTGACAGTCCCCTTATTTGCCCGGGACCATGCCTCCTCAAATGGCAGCTCCAGAAAGCCATCCGCGCTGCCACGAGACCCCCCATATAGTAGCGTGTCTGCCCAGTCCTCACTCCCGAACCAGTTGGTTTTCACCTCGTGGACCAATTTTTCTGAACCCGGGATTTCGTCCGGGGGCTGTAGCTTCTTTTGCGACCGATCTGCCAGCTCCGCAGCCTTTTCATCCAGTAGACGAGAGAATTGGTCGCAATTGCTCCGCACCCGCTCTTTCTTCTGTGTCGTGGTGTTCAGGGAGGACAAATGAGCCAGTATCAGCGGGACCAGCCTTTCGTACTCTGCTTGAGTCAGGCTCTTGGCCAGGCCCAGTTTCAGACCTGGCGCATCCGCATTTTCCGTCACGACTTTCCGGAGGACGGCAGTCGAAAAGATGGCCAGCACCTCCTCGAACTTGGCGCCCTTGCAATCGTCGAGCATGGTCTTGCGCAAGATCGTCTCCCGGCCCAGGTCGCCATTCTTCTTCAGGTCAGACAGACATCGAAACAACGCTCCGCGTAGATTAAGCGATTGCAGCGGCTCCAACGGCGGGAAGAACGGACGGAGTTTCTGGCCTAGTCAGCGACACGAGACCCGTCAGGGAGACGATGATGATGATGAGGCGAATACATTTTTCGTCCCTTCGGGATCCCAGATGGCGAAGAGATGGTAGAGCGCCCACTCGACACCCTTGATGCGCTGGCGCTGGGATTGCTGCCCGCCAGAAAATAAACGGGCAGAGAGGTCGGGCCAGTCGGGCTGCTGGTCAAGCTGCAGCAGGCGGAGATTGCGCAGGAAGACGGTGACGGGCGAAGGAGAGGCCCAGGGCACGGACGCTGGAGGGTGAGAGGACTGCATGGGTGACTGATAAGGAGAAGTTGGACCCGTACATAGACGGCTGTATTTTAGAAACATATAACCTTGCAATAGTGCAATGCATAATGAGTTGTGTGCTGTGTTGCATGTCAACAAAGAAATAGCGAACATGGGATGTTTGCAGTGTTTGGCCCGCCTATCAGAGGGATTGCAGGCTGTATCAGTCCAGTTTTCCCCTCTTCCTTCCCGCCAAAACAACCCCTTTCGCTCTTGTTTGCGGCATAGAGTCCATTTTCTTCGTTTTCGTTCTTGCCGCATGCTGGTATTTTCACTCTCCACTCTGTCGTTTGGTCTGAGTCGTTAAATTGTGTTGCACAATGGGTTCTTCCGACGCTGCGCCGAAGCCGGTGTGGACAGCGCAGACAGGTAGGTTTATCAGAGGGGGAAAGAAAAATATTACTAGACGGTGCTGAAGTTTTTCTAATAGTGCTTTCGACTCTGCCGCACCCCCCAGAAGAACACTCGTCATCCCCTGTTCCCTTCTTCCACCTGCTGGAGCGTCTGAAGACGACCAAGCGCGAGGGCTGGCGCCGGTTCGGCTTGGTCTATGGCGAGTCGATTTCGGACCACATGTACCGCATGGCGGTGATGACGATGCTGGCCCCGCCGTCGCTGGCGTCGCGACTGAACATACCGCACTGCACCAAGATGGCGTTGATCCACGATATGGCCGAGTCGCTGGTGGGGGACATCACTCCGGTCGACAAGGAGGTGACCAAGGAGGAGAAGGCGCGTCGCGAGGCGGCGGTGATGGACTACATCGAGTCGACACTGCTGAGCGGTGTGCCCGGTGGGCAGCTGTCCGGCGGGGAGATCCGGCGCGTGTTTCAGGAGTACGAGGACAACGAGACGCTAGAAGCGAAGTTTGTGCACGACATCGATAAGATGGAGCTGCTACTGCAGATGGTCGAGTACGAGCGGACGCACGGTATCGACCTGTCCGAGTTTTCCCACGTCGCTTCCCGGATCCAATTGCCAGAAGTGAAGGAATGGGCGGCGACGGTGCTGAAGGAACAGGAGGAGTTCTGGAAGGCCAAAGCGAAATCTTAGTACGACGGACAAGAAGGATGGAAATGGACGTTGAGTGCGAGATTGTATGACACATTCTTTGGAGGCATATTTTCTTTTCCTTTATTTAATATACAGAGGCAAGAGGCCAGGCGAGGCGTTCCGGGGTTTGATCGGTATATCACTATGTTACATAGATTAGACGTGTATGAAGGATATGATGGACACGGACATGAGAATCGCTAGCAATAATTGTAGATCATTCTGCGCTGATCTTCAGCTTCTTCTCAGCAGCAGATCCAATCAATAATTCACTGGTCAACTGGATTGACAGCTTTCCCCTATCCCTTAACCTAAGAAAGACCATAGTTGAACGTCTATATATATTCTTTATTCAAACAGCTATATCCAACCACAGAAACAGACGGAATAATCGATTAATCGTCAGTCTCCTTCTCCATCTCCTTAGCCAACATCTCCGCCTCCCGCGCCATCTCCTCCTCACTGCGGGGCTTGCGACTGTCATTATCGACGGCGGGGAACTTCGACCGTCTCGCCTGTCCACCTTGTCCACCACCCTGCGATTTTTCTTCTTCTTCCTTTTCCTTTTCCCGCTGGATGCGACCAATATCCCCCTCCTCGCCATCCAACATGTCATAGATGGCATCCGTGCCGCCGCGATGGTCCAGATCGGCCTTGCGGCGCGGGATGATGTGCGTGTGGACGTGCGGCACGCTCTGGCCCGCATCGACGCCGTCCTGGATGGCGATGTTGAGGCTCGACGCGTTGTACACGCGCTCCACCATCTTGCCCACTTTGCGCACTGTCAGGAACAGATCCGCTGTTTCGTCCGGGGTGAGGTCCGACACGCGCGGGACGCATCGTCGTGGTGAGACCAGGACGTGTCCTGGTAGGATGGGTTTGAGGTTCACTAGCGCGAAGGAGAGAGGTGTGAGGTAGAAGACCTATTCTCGTATGTAAGTATGTACATACGGTCAGGTAAGTCCTTGTCTGGAAAAGAGAAGAGGGAAAAAAAGAGAGAGGGAATAGCTACCTGCGACGTGACGACAAACGGGCCGAAGTAGATGGGCCCTGAAGCTTTGGCCGCGAGGGCCGCCATGCTGTAGGCCTGCAGTTGGTCTCTCTAGAAGAGCGCACAAGACAGGATTGATTATATATATGTATATATATATAAAAGGAGGCGAGACAGGCCAGTCCCTGACTGTCAGAGTAGAATATGGCTATGTTGCTGTTCTATGGAGTACCGTTCACAGTAACTTGGCGGCGGAAGGCAAAGCGGATCTCCGATGCGATGTGATCTCATATCGATAAGGTAAGGACCAGCATCATGATTCTTGAATACGACCCAGCAGTATTAAACCAACGAAAGAACAGACAGATAGAGAGTAGAATATGACTCTTTCTCTTTCCATTTTTTTTCCCTCTCTACAACCAGTTAGGAATTTATTCTCGGCAGAAGGAGAGTGTAGTTACTACTAGACCGGAATGTCATCAATGTCTAGTCAGTCATTCATTCCATGTGTACAGTACATACATACATGCTACATAACTAGTCATACAAGTTCAACTAGAGCTGAGGTAGCTGCTAGCCGTCTAGCTCATATTAATTTACGGAGTATTGTTTCTTCTCTTACTGCGTACCACCCCCTCGTCTCCGTCTCCGTTGCGAAGATGGCCGTGGATCAGGATTGTATTCATCCTCGGCATCTTCCTCCTCTCCAGGGGTCGACAGCTCGCTCAGTTCCGAGTCGTCGTCATCATTGTTGTTGACCTTTGGATCCTCCTCGGCGCCATCATCTGTCGTCTGAGCATGCTGAAGTCGTTTCCCCGCATCTCGTTCCACGATCAGATGTCCGTCTCGATCACCGTCAGCGTCATCGTCATCCTGTCCAGGCAGTAGGAAGCCTCCGCCCTGGTCGACTTGATCCTCATTCTCATCCCCGCCTGCATGCTCTGTCAATGGCGCTGACTGACCAGCAGGCCGGCCCGGGGGAGGCTTCCTTTGAAACGGATTATCGATCTCCATATCTCCGTGCAGTCCATATTCTGCGCGCACACGCTCCGCAATGCGCAACCCCATGAGGAACTTGCGCCACGTCTGTAGGATGCGCTTCTCCTGCTGCAAGCGTTCTTTTTCCCGCTTTGCCTGTTGCTCCGCCCGCCACGCATCTTTCACCAGCTCCGCATTTTCTTCTGCCACCACTACTCCTTCGATCACTGGCACCGCCATCTTCGACCCAAACTCGAAGCCTGTCACTGCCTCCGCATAGTCAATGCCTAGCTTCCGGCAGATGCGTACTGTTCCGTTCCAGGGGATGTGCACTGCCCCCTTCGGCACCATGCTGGGCACGAAGCAGTCGATGTTGCCGTACTCGTTCTTCGGAATTTTGCCATCTACAATCGGGGGAGGGATGATCCATTCCGTCTGGTAACGGGCGTACAGCCCCTGCAGCGGCCTTTCGCCCGTCTCACGCTCCACCGCGTCTACCTCGAGCTGGCGCAGCAGCGTCACGGCCCTGATGGGCACTCGCTTCAGTGGTACTTCGCCCTTCCGCGGCCGTCGACCCTCCTTGTGCCAGCTCTCGGCGGACATACACTTGAGCACGTCCGCACGCCGATAGACCTTCTCTTCCTTAGCCTTGTCGCCTTTCCCGGTGACAATTGTCCGCACAGGCTGCGCGCCAGGGCGGAGCGCTTCATCCCGGCGCAGGAAACGCTCCAGCACGAACTCCGTCGAATTCCGTAGGCTCTGAAGGGTGTCGCCTTCCTTTTTGGCAGGTTTCCGTTCGGGTTGGTTGGCAACCAGGTCCTTAGCGTCTTCCACGTCGTCCACGATAGTCCGCTGGTTCTGCGAACGCATGTATCCTCTCATAGTCACTTTGAACCAATCGTAGTCGTAGGTTAGCGCTGGTCCACCCTGTCGTAGCGGCTTTGCAGTGATCTTTTCCACAGGCAGGCGGTATCCCTTGGTCTTGCCAGGCCAGGTCTTTCGTCGCAGATATCGCGTTGTCACGTCCTTGGCCGTCCCGTCGGCAGAGTGGGCAACAACATAGGCAATGACCTGCTTGACCTTTTCTGCCCGCGCGCCGCGGGGCTCGAACGCTGCGACGAGTTCAGGAGTGGTGGCTACCGGGTTGGGCAACACGAGCGGATCGACTGGAATGACTTCGTGGGTAATCGGGGAGATGACCTCCGTCCAGTAGATAGGGAATGGGAGATCGCGGTCATAATTGGAACGCTGACGAGGGGTCTTCTCTGTGGGAGTACCGTCATCATCGTCGTCATCGTCATCGTTATCATCGCCACTGCTGGATGAAGCATCATTCGTCTCTGCTTGGTCCTTAGCGGGCTCCGTGGTATCGACTTCGGCCTTTGTCCAGCCAAAGCCCAAGGGCTGGAGACTGGCAACTAAACGAGCCTCGATACCTAATGCCCTTAATAGAGCCGTGAATAGCTGTGCGCCCACGTCCCGAGAGCCCTCGCAGCGCTCTGCCAGCGCGCGGAATTCGTCACGGTCGCGGATCCGTTCTCCATGCCGGATGGGGTCATGTTCTCCTTTCTGAAAAGACGTTACGATATCCTCCACAACATGGATAGGGCGATATCCGTGTTTGCGCAGTCCAGGGGCCGTGATCCTAAAGTGTTTCTTCCAGTAGGCCGCTAAGACGCGCAGTAGCGACAGGATAGGATCTCCCCGATTCATGTCAGGCTGCCCGGGTTCTAGCTGTGACGCACCATCGCTCCAGTCGCGGTCAGCGCGACTCGACCGTTTATTCTTCCCCTTTTTCGCAGACTTCGATTTGCTGCCAGCCTCCTCCTCTGGTGGGGGTTGTGGTGGAGGTGGCTCCAAGGCAGAGGCGACGCGCCATTTCTGTACCTCCTTCTGGATCTCTGCAGGTAATTGGCGGCGTAGAATGTCATGGAGGGACGAGTCGTTGATCCAGGCGTTGCGCAGCGCGTTGTGGAAGAGGAGACACTGGACGTGGACGCGATGGGTGTTAATTCGGATCTCGCGCTCTATCTTGCTCGGGCCCTTTTTGTTGTCAAGCAGAGTCATAGATGGACGGTTGGCCCTTGGATCCAGGGTCAATTCAAGATCCTGGACTGGAGTGGTGTGCGATACGGGGCCACCGTTTGTTGTCTTCATCGCGTCCTCCCAGTCGACCCCATCCTCGTTGTCGTCATCCTCATCATTTTCGCCATCCTCATCGTTGTCCCTTTCAATTTTCACAGGCTTTTTGTTGCTGTCATCTTCCACGACACTTGACACGTCGCTCAAGGACGACTTATCGGAGCTGCTGAGGAGCTTGGTCACCTCCTGATCGAGCGCGGGGCGTTTGGTCGGCGGCGTCGTCTGGTCCCGGGGGGAGAGGGAGCGCTTGCGGGGAACGAAAGGCGGCATGGGCTGTCACCAGCTTCGCGAGGAGGCCCGGTTGTTGTTCTTGAGATGAGGGAGTCGACGTGGGTTGGATGTTGAGGGAAAAAGGCCATGAATTGAAAGTCTCTAATCCGGGGATGCTGATCTGATAAGATAAGCCAATGGGAGTGTGCTGCGGAGTACAGACACAGCAGACGGTGTGAGTTGACAGTCCAGTTATGAGCTGAGATCTTAATTCTGCTACTTTACATTATCTCTTCAAGCAGGTTGTCGACATGTGATACTGCCAGACTTGCATGTTGTCTGTATACTGTCCCTTGAGAGGATGGATTCCGATCTCCGGAGCAGAAACGCTAAGAAGCATGAACCTAGGTAATCGTGAGCACGTCATGCTTGCCGATTGACGATTGCTCCATAGCCCCTCAGTTCTCTCTGAACTCTTCTCTGGTTAATTAGCTCGATTATCTGCCTCTTCACCATCCGATTTGTAACCCCCCACGGAAAGAAACCAAAATGGACGCTGTGAAGCGCTTCTTTTCGTCCCCGCGATTCGCTGTGGCCGGCGCCAGCAACGACAGTCGCAAGTTCGGCTATAAAAGTAAACAAACCCTGGCCTCTTCTTGTGAGTAACTTGGCTGACTGGCATTTACTTCTGTCCTAGTTCTGGCCTGGTATCACCAGCACTCGCTGCCAGTCACTCCTATTAATCCCCGGGCCGACAGCATTGACCTGCCTTCGCACAAATATGCGACCGTGTCTTCACCCTCTGCCCTGCCCGAACCCTCGCAGACTTCTCTCTCCCTCGTCACGCCGCCGCCCGTCACGCTGGAGCTCCTGAAGGAGGCGCATCAAGCCGGCATCCCGGCTGTCTGGCTGCAGCCGGGCACCTTCGACGACGAAGTGCTCAACTACGCCCGCTCCCACTTTGAGGCTGCCATCGGTGGTGAAGGTGGCCGGGGCAGCGAGGGCTGGTGTGTTCTGGTCGACGGCGAGGATGGATTGGAAGCAGCAGGGCGATCCTGGACAGTACAGAAGCTGTAGATGGTCAGAAAAGAAGGAAATTCGAGGAATGATGCATATAGAGTACGACTGTGACGATCTACCAATGAATTTATCGTTTTCATTAACTGTAGACTTGCATGGTTCCCAACTGGAGCAGTGATGACGATTGTAGCTTTTTTTCACTGTAACGCAGCGCTGGCTCAGCGGTGTTTACTGCGCCCCGCTCCGCATCCCCAACTCTTCCAGCCGGCATCTCATGAGCCCCGTCTACGTCGCTCGCGTCACCACCGCCGATGCAGAGTACATTCCTCGCCCCCGTCTCACTGGAATAGACCAGCAGCAGGATTCTTCGACAGGAGTCGACTGCGAACAGGGGCCCTGCCAGGCCCTATAATGGCCGACATGCCTGGTTCCTTTCTCAGCGGCGACGCGCCCTTCCGTGTTTCTTCCCAGCTCTTCCAGCCACCTCGGACGCCTTCTGCCTCTTCCTCTCTTTTTCTGTCTCACGATAACGCCTCTGCCCGCAAGCGCCTGCGTCGGGATGGCCCAGAGGACCGATCCTTCTTAGACCCCGTGTCGTCGGGCGAGCTGGGCAGCCCGGCGCCCTTGGTCAACACCGACTACCGTCTAGCTGGGGGACTGGAGGAGACGAGACATCTCGAGACCGACGAGAACCAAGATGCCATGGAGGAGGAGCTGGATTACCGACCGAATCGATATCGCGATCCCACGGTATTGCAGGCAAGGGAGGAGCACGAGGAGAACAGCTACAATGACCAAAACAATGGGCGCGGAAATCGCAAACGCAGCCACAGCGTATCAGAAGAGACGAACAAAGCAGAATCGCCGTACAGGGGCTGGGGTCGAGCTGTTTTCAACGTCGTGGGCAAGGTCTGGGATTTTTGCTGGTCGAGCGCTTTTCGTGGTTTCTATGCCGGTGGAGGTCAGTCATATCGTATGACGGCCAACTCGCCGCCGACCTTGGACCAGAGTTCCTGGCAAATGGTGTCTCGCCAGGACGATGTCTTTGGTCCTGATTCCCAGTCTCCCAACCCTATTCCCGGAGACTTCCCGGCCGACGAAGACGAAGATTACGAGAAGGCACGCGATCAGGATCTCCGCGCCAGCTGGGTGCTGGTCCCTGACGGGAAACAACATCTCTCCTCTCGAAGCAGCAGTCCCACCAATACGGCACGCAGGGTTCCGCGAAGGGGTAGTGCCTGGCGTGCTCAGCCTCGCCGGTCCACCGGCATGCCTCGGTTGAGCAGGAGATCCGTTCTCAATCCCACGCGGACGTCGATGACGATATCCGCGCGGCCGGGTACTCCAACAAAGAGCCAGTTCACACCATCGCGGCCATCGTCCAAGGACAGTCCGGCTTCGCTTGAAGCCCAACGGTTAGCAGCCAAGGTGCGTCGCCGCGAGCGCGAGGAGGACGCCAGTATTCGGCGACTGAACGACCAGCTCAAGGCTATGATCCGCGAGGGACGAGAAGCGTTGGGGACACGGGTGGAAATCGACGAGTCGATAGACTTGGATGATGACTGATCAGCGAACTTATTATTAACTTGACTTTTTTCTTTTCTCCTATGGCCGTATGGCTGATGAGATACCCTGGAAAGAATGTTTCTTGCTTGGAAAGGAGGACTGTACGGAATATTTCATTCTTCTTATCTTCTTCTGCTTTGGCGAAATGCAGGGATCGGATACCGGGAGGGATTTTGCATGTTCTTTTCATTCATTTTGTTTCTAACTAATCCTTGTGTACTCATTCTAGTGAGTCTTGCAGTTTGGAATAATGACGATGACGAACGAGCTGTGATATCAGACTGAGTCTTCGAAGTTGGTGTTGGTATTATTACTGGAGAATGAAATCGAACGATCGTTTATTAAATGTCCGGATTATTTGTCTCTACGGCGATCACACGAGGAAAAAAAAAGCAATTACATTAATAATCATCGCCACCACAGGAAATAATATAATATAATACTGTCCTGGAACAGTGAGTCGTCATATTACAGGACACGGCTAGCAAAAAGATCAGAAGAAAAAAATAATTGTAAGTGACCTTGTAGAGAAAGGACAAGAAAAAAAAGAAAAAAAAAAAAAGAAAAAGAAAAGAAAACGAACAGAGAGAAAAGAAGAAGAAGAAACAGAAGAAAGTTCGAAAAAAAGTTTACAGTTTCCTCCACGAGCCAGCACTGTCGATTAGGCTGGCATTGGACTGGAGTAGAGTAGAGTAGAGTAGAGCAGAGTATAGCCTGAGCAAGAATACCTACAGGGTTCTCTTCTCCTCTCCTCTCCTCTCCTCTCCTCTCCTAACATATTAATGCGGCAATAAATCGACTCGTTTACCGCCAAAATTGATGCCCTTGGTGAGGTCTCCCAGCTTTTTTTTCGGATCGGCCGCAATGCCCATCAGGATCCCTGGCAGATCTGATCCGGAAAGACCCTGTCGGCGCTCCAGTTCGTGTGCGCCTGTGAGTCCGCCGCGCACCCAGTCCTCGATGTCGGTCGCCAGGTGCACGGCGTCGATTGCTTGGGCGGGCTTCAGGCCTGTTGTTGGGCTGTGGGGGTCGTGACTCTGCGTATCGTGGTCGTGGTCGTGGTCCTTCGAGTCATGATCCTTGGAGTCATGGCCCTTAGAGTCATGGTCCTTGGCAGCATTGCCAGAGTGATGCTCCTCTCCCGGTGTCTGCATCTCATCCCGGGACTGCAGTTTGCTCTTAATGCCGTCGATGTAAGCGTTTGCGACGTCCGACACGACTCCCGGCACTTTGCCTATGATGTCGCCTGGTAAAAGCTGCCGCGCATGCAGATCGCCCTTTACTTTCTCGATGTACTCGTCTGCGAGCCTGCTGGCCTTGTCATCCACTGAGTTGCCCAGGGGGCCGTGTTCTGCCTGCCCCGCTAGGGCGCCAAGCAGGGACGAGCCGCTGAGTCCTTCGTGGGGTTTCTGTGGAGGGTGCAGGGCGTCTGCTTCAGCGGCGGAGGCGACATCTCCAGAGTTGACGATGATGGTTGGGGGAGAGGCCTTCTGCATGGGCTCGCTCTTATGCCGGTTGTGGGCGACGTCCACCAGGGATGGCTGGGATTGACGCGTCAGTATCTATTGACTGGATTCAGCAGTAGGAGAAGGAAAAAACTGAGTGACCTACAATCGCAGCCTTCTCAGCCTCGGTCATGTCGTGGATTCTGGCCTTCTCCTCATCCACCGGCGACGGGGATATTGGGGCCGCCATGGCCGCCGAGAGCATGAGCAGGAGGACATTTCTGACGGGCGCCATCCTTGGTTTGTCCTGGTCGTCCCTTTTTAAGCAACGAGGTAGGTAGTCAATCGAAAAGTGATTGATTGTCTAAGGACGATATGGCTGGGCACAAGACAGAACGCGGACTCGTCACGAACGAGAAGGGGCAAGTGGTCCCTTTATAAATAACTGGGCTGGAGGAAGACAGATCGCTATGCATCCACATATAGGAACTGCCCCTCTCTATCTCTCGTAAAAGGGTTTAGCCTTATCGTCGACATGTTTGCGCGATCGGTCTAGAGCCGTCTTCGTGTCTGTTGTGCTGAGAGAACGAAGGAAGGGATGGCAGAGGGGAATGGAATGGAATGTAGGAGGTTAGTTTGTCGAAAGATCGCACAATAATAGTTGAAATAAGTCAAGACAGAGTTTTTGATGGTGTTGAAGAGCGCCTCTGCAAGGGGGAGGGAGACAAGTTGGAATGTTGGATGGTGTTTTTATCAACACACTAATCTTCCCCGATGTGTGATACTCGTAAGAACTCTCTGCCAAAGAACGAAGCACTGGGCTTATTAGCAGGATATAATCATATCCTGTTGAAGAGATGTCACTCACTTCGTATCAGTCAGTCAGCCATTAAGTTTTTTTGTCCTCTGATTCAACACTGACAGGCTTCCTCGTTATGTTATTGATATTTTCGTGTTATATCTTGTGTTATATCTTTCCTCAAGATGGCATGGAGCAGGTCTGTGACGCAAGTCGTGTCCCGCGAAGAATGCAACCAAAGTCATCGCCACAAATATCCGAGACATCGACTGACTCACTGACTGTTCGATTTATTTGAAATTTTGCGTGCTTTCTCCTGAGGGATTATTAATCGGCTCTTCAGAACCCTACCTAGGCAAGAGCATACACATAGAGCGGCATTATCTGATTCTGCGTCATAAGGACGCAGGGTTTCCCCCTTATATCTGGTACTATGTGTAGATAGAGAAAGGATGAGAGGTGAAATGGACTATCTAGATTCAACTGCTTTCCATCTCTCAGGCACGTGTTTTGTGTACATTCTCGAACGGAAGTCTCTCCCGTCCCAACTCGACATGACTCCTCGCGAGCTGCTTCCCAGCAGTCTGGCTACTGACTTAATTCATATACAAGCCCCTCGAACGGCCTCAAGATCAAGGGATCCCGCACTTTCTCCGATTGCTTGTCGTAATTCGACAGCAGCAATTTGGCATCTTCCAGTGCGCACCCCTTGTCCGCACCCGTCCACGGCACCGCACCGGGGGAGAAATTTAGGACGATCAGGTAGCGAGTCCCTTTGAAACGGCGGAGATAGGCAAATATGTACTGGTTATCAAGGTCGATTATCTCGATGGAGCCATGCAGCTACACTTGTCAGAACCAGCGACAAACTGATCAGTTGGGATGGACCTACCAACGTTGGATGCGACTTGCGCATCCGGATCATCTTCCGGTAGAACGACAGGACCGAAGTTTCATCTTTTTGCTGATTCTCGATACTCCATTCCTTGCCATCGGGACAGGGAGGCATCCACGGCCTTACATCTGAGCAAAACCCACCGTTGGCCTCTCCAGTCCACTGCCACGTTCTGATCAGTAAGGTTCGATCTCAGCCTGACGTACTGTAAGACACTCACCGGCATCGGAACGCGAGTGTTGTCACGGCCTTTCTGCTGGATCGCCTTCTTCGCGTGCTCCACTTTCTCGGAGTTTTCTTGCTGCTTGGCGCTATGGTCGATTGATTCATAAGCCTGTTTCCAATAACACAAGTGTGAGATGCCGTCCTACTTACGAATTCCAGAACATGACCGTCTCGATATCCTGGTTCATCTCTTCTGAGAAGCATTCAGGATTGATCATCCCCAGCTCTTGGCCTTGAAAGAGGAGCGGGGTCCCTCGCAGCGTGAAGAGCCACATCGCCAGCATTTTCGCACAAAAGCCGCGAAACCGGGGTGTCGATGTGGTAAACCTCGAGATGCCCCTGGGCTGGTCGTGGTTTTCCATCCACAGAGTCATCCAACCGCCACAATGCATCATCTTCCGCTGCCAGTCGTCCAGGATGTGTTTCAATTCCGGCAGCTCCCACTCACGGAGGAGCCATTTGTCCCCGTCATGGCAATCGAGCTCCACGTGTTGAAACTGAATCAGTAGATGCAACTCCCGACGAGGCTTGTACTTGGAGAGATACTCGACCGCCTGATCAGACGAGATTCCGCATGACATCTCGCCGATCGTGACAATGTCGTACTTGGAAAATACATGTTCGTTCAGATCCTGTAGGTGCTTGTGGATGTTGGGACTGCCGCAGGCATTTACTGTGAGCTCATTCCTTCCCTGCTAGGAGTCAACTCACCCATTGGCAAAGCGGCAGTTGGCTTGTTGCAACGGCTCTCCCGGCTTGATCGTAGGAGCATCCGGGAAACCATGTGCCTTGGAGATCAGATTCATGCAATCGAGCTAGATGAAAACAATCAGGAAAAACGCTCTTGTCAGCCGAGTTTGGGGCAACAATTTCCTACCCGGAATCCATCAAGTCCGCGGTCGAGCCACCACCGCAATATCTTGTAGATTTCTTGCCGGACCTCCTCGTTCTCCCAGTTGATATCGGCCTGTTTCTCCCCAAAGATATGCATGTCTTTGTCAATAAGTAAAACATATCTTACCACTTTCTTTGGCTCAAGGGGTTTTCTTACAGTACTCGCCGGCAACATCATCATATGTCCAAGCAGACCCTGTCGGCGATCAGCATCATCTGCGACAGACGTCTTGCAGACCTTACCCCCAAAGGCGCTTTCCCAATTATTAGGTGGATTTTGCTTTCCTTCAGCATCCACTGTTCCCGGCTGCCAGATGTACCAGTCTCTCTTTTCTCCGTTGGGGTTGCGTCGATTGGCCCGAGAGGTTTGAAACCATTCATGCTATGCAACCCTGTCCGTCAGATTTTCCTTGGGCTAGCCAAAGATATCCCATATCATACTCACTTCGACAGATGTGTGGTTGAGCGCAATATCGATAATGACCTTCAAACCTTTCTCGTGGGCTGTCTGCACCAAACGGTCTACATCCTCGATTGTTCCGTACGCAGGGTGGATTTGCGTATAGTGCCTGATATCATACCTGTGTCTTTTCTCAGTGACCATCGCATTTCCTTGTTCTGTTGCTCATACCCCATATCGAACATTGGCGACTCAAAGATAGGGGTCAGCCAAACAATGTCAACCCCCAGGTCGACCAGATAATCCAGATTTTCGATGACTCCCCCGATGTCTCCTTTCCCGTCACCATTCGTATCCTTGAAGCTCGGTATCAGCACCTGGTACACCGTTGCTTCTTGCCACCATTCCAAGTTCTCTGCTTCCACATCGTCTGTTCCAGCGGCCTTGGCTGCGAGCGCTGCTTCCCTGATATCTTCTGGACAATCCATCGCTTCCTATACCAGGCTTTGCCGCCAGCAGATAAATTATTCCTCATCAACGATCCATAGCAGTGCAGGTTTTAGAGAGACAGCTTTCTTTACTGAATTGGTCACGGACTCCCTTGCCGAGCCAGACGGATCGGATGGAATTCGGGTTATCTATTCAGATTAACCCAGAAATCCGAGCCCTTCCGTGAAGTCATGTTTACGATCATTCGTCAATTATGAAGGGTATGGACTTCGGAGGTTATTTCCTAGGACTTTCCATAGCACAAAAAACAGAGTTTTGTAATTCAGTCATCGCTACGTCGGCCATGCTGTCGAGGAAGCCCTACATCTAGTCATCTTATATGATGACCACTCCGAATTCAGATAGGTTTCGTCTTCTAAACCACTGATGAGGAGTCCAATTTACACTAGAATATTGCACAGTCGGTTGCGGTCTTCCCTCGTTCCGACAACCACGAGACAACTCAGGCAGACGCTGCCGTCAAGCAAGAAAGTATCTCCCTTTGTTTACCCTGTTCACCCTGTCAAGCAGCCGTTTAGACAGTCTCACGCCATGGCGACCAACCCGTATACACCGTCCATCATGGACTTTGACCGCGTCTGGTGGCGCGAAGTGGTCATCTATGAGATCTATGTCCAGTCATTTCAAGACAGCAACAATGATGGGATTGGAGATCTTCAGGGCATCATCAATCGGCTTGATTATCTGAAGAACCTTGGCGCCGATATGCTCTGGCTGACTCCAATTTATGAGTCGCCCCTGGAGGATCAAGGATACGATATATCCAACTATAGAGCGATCAATCCTCTGTTTGGCACCATGGAGACATGGGAGAAGATGTGTCACGAGATCCACAAGCGAGGCATGAAGCTGATGATGGATATGGTGTTCAATCACACTAGTTCCCAGGTGAGTGGTATATGCCGATGTTTCCTTGTCGGTTGGACGACGCATTAACAGCAACTAGCATAAATGGTTCCTCGAATCAAAGAAGAGCCGGGAAAATCCCAAGAGGAACTGGTATTTCTGGAAGAGGGGGAAGACGGGACCGAATGGGGAAAGGCTGCCACCCAACAACTGGGAGAGTCTTTTTGGAGGTTAGAAAATTTACTGCAATTCAGGAGCTGGTCACTGACAGTTCCTGGCAAGGTCCGGCGTGGACATATGACGAACATACCGATGAGTGGTGTACGTGGTCGCGATTGGATTTCCTGTCGGAGAATGTGCGTCTTGACTTTTGGCAGATTTACATCTCTTCTCATCATCTCAGCCAGACCTAAACTGGGACAACCCCGAAGTTCGCGAGGAGATATGTGATACTATTCGATTTTGGGGCGAGAAGGGAACTGACGGGTTCCGTGTAAGTTTGAAAAGCGGCCTGATGATGGCAAAACGTCGATCAAACTAATCCCCCAAGTTTGATGTTGTGAACCTCATCTCCAAAGTTCCCGGTCTCCCTGACGCTCCGATTGTGAATCCGGATAAGTATGAGCAGCCGGCTCTGATGATGTTCACGAATGGGTAAGTGCTTTCGAATCCTCCGTCTTTCTCTAGCGGTAGGATAGGTGTTGACCGCAGACAGGCCGAATGTCCATGAGTATATTCACGAGGTGAATACCAAGGCACTGAGTAAATTCAACTGCTGTTCCGTTGGAGAGATGCCCTGCGGAGTGTCCGAGTTTGAAGCCAGCGAGTACGTCGGCAAAGACCGCCGGGAGCTCTCGATGGTCTTCCAGTTCCATCACATGGACCTAGACGCCACCGACGGCGACAAATGGAAGATTCGCAAGTGGGAGCTCCCGGAGTTTGCTCGCGTGATGCGCATCTGGCAGCAACATATGCTGGGCAACCACGGTAAGCGTGCACTTGCAGATGGAGACATAGGATGAAAGGTGAAACTAATTGTAGCGGTCTAGGATGGAACTCCTTGTATATCGAGAACCACGACCAGCCCCGATGCTTGTCTCGCTTTGGCTCGCGGGATCCCAAGTATCGGTCAGTATCTGCCAAGATGCTTGGTACCTTCCTCCTGTCCATGCGAGGCACCATTTATCTCTACCAGGGCCAGGAATTGGGAGTTCCCCATCCGGAGAATTGGAAGATTGAAGATTATAAGGATGTCGAAACGCAACAATACTACCAAGCGTGAGTATCTGGCCCAAATGGAAGTTCAGTGCTAATGGTCAGGGGGGAATAGCATGTATGAGGAGCGAAAGAAACAGAACCCCGACAAGGAGCCCGACATGTCGGATGTCATGTACTCCATCCAGCTGAAAAGCCGCGACAATGCCCGCACGCCGATGCAGTGGGACACAAGTCCCAATTCAGGCTTCACAGGGCCCGGGGTGACTCCCTGGCTGAAGATGAATGAAAGGTACACGGACCTGAACGTGTATACGCAGGAACGGGATCCAGACTCGGTGCTCAACTATTACCGGAAACTGGTCCTTTTGCGCAAACAACATCCCTTGCTGGTGAGTCTGACGTCATGAAACAAGAAGTCTTGATTGATTGAAAATGATACTGACTTGCGGCCGAGTTCTACGGCGCCTTTGTGCCCATCAACCCGACGCACAAACAGATCTTTTCTTTCCTGCGCGCGCAGGGGCCTTTCCGTACGCTGATCGCATGCAACTTCTCCAACGAGGAGGCGACGTACGACATCCCAAACGAGATCGACATCGACCTGGCGGTGTTGGTGATTGCCAACTACCACGTCACGGAGCCGAAGCTGGAATATCGGACCATCTTCCGACCGTGGGAGGCGAGGGTTTATACGTTGCGGAACTAGAAGCCAGCCGCCGGAAGCATATTATAATTAGCAGCACAATCACACAAATTGTAGAGTAGCAAAGAGGGAAAATATAGGACATATGTCATTTAACTAAAGTATAAAGTGATGAAGTAAGCTTAGGTAGTTCTGTGATTTCCATCCAGTAATGTACTGCGGAGTATAATTTCCGCTCCGGGAATCAATCCCGCGTCTAATTTAAGATACACTTTGTGCCGTGGCGTTTAAGAAGACTAGTTAAGCTTTCTAAGCAGTTTGTATTGTACAGTACATAGGTAGGTACATACATACATGCGTGTAGATTATAATAAATTATAAAAAGTAAACTGCAATTCATCAAGTCTGCATAATGGATGGTTTAAATATATATTCTAATCTATGGTAGATTAATTTTTCCTCCTCATGGCCTAAAACATAATTATGTAATGTACAGTACCTGCGTGCGTGAGGTAACAAGTAAATAAATCGGTATGATTCTGACAATAAATGGAAATCTTCAGAAAGGAGAAAAAACAAAGAAAGGGCGTGACAGTGTCATACCTATTACAGATCTCATCCATCTATCAACCGATCTACCTCTATATATAGTCTGTACGGAGTAAGTCGGAGGAGGGAACGACACCTTTTTAGCGGCACCCGACGCCGCTTTCTGTGGATGGCATTTTATCACCGAGATTCCATTCCAACAACAGGTTGCACCTCTCCAGGATCAACCTCAGTGATCACCAAACTACCCGCACTACCAAGGATGTCTGAACTTAAGGAAGAAATCCTTAGAATATGTACTAAGGGAGAACTCTTATAATTAGAAGTTATCATAGAAAAATATGGTGTTAATCCTTTATCTTTTTCTGTGCTATTAATAAAGGACATGCCTAAGTCTGCTATTATAGGCAAACAACTTGGCAAAGTCAGTAGGGGTGTAAGAGAGGTCAATTTTCTTAGTAAGTTTTGTATCTAGTTGCCTAATAAGCTATATATATAGCAACTTTCAAGGAAGATTTCCACCATATAGTATATACTTAGGGTCTTAGGGTGATTGGCATCTGGCCTATTAATTTAAATTATAGAATTAGTATTGCTTCGCTTCGCTCCGCAAATAAAAGCCTAAGTTACTTCGAGTTATAGGTCACCATTCTCAAAGCACATACAGTGTCTTATATAAATCTTTGGGCCTTTCTTGTTGGTTGCCTATTTACTACTATTATCATTTTAAAAATAGATATTCAATTACATTAGTTTGTGTAATACTTACCTCTAGTCAAGTGGGAGAACTCAACTGCCTTACTTTTAACATTATTATGTATGTCATCTGATCACTTTTATCTTCAGTTTTACACTCTCAAATCGATATAAATTAAATTAAATGACTTTTTAACTACTTAAAGTGCCACGGTAGAGAGACTAACAGCTAAGACGGTGCTATTATGTTAGGACATAAAGTCAGATTTACTCTTTAAGCTCTTGTTTCACATTACCGTACAAGATGGCCCGATCTCGTCATCTACTGTAGTTGACCTCGGCGCCTCAGTGTCTTAAGTCGTCCCAATAGACATGATTCATAAATCCAGCCCTCGGGCTCTGAAATGCTTCAGCCATCACTTCCATGCACTCCTCGTCTTCCTGAGCCAGAACAAGCGCTGTAAGTGACACTCTTTTCTCCCGCGTCATCACCGAGTTTCCCTCATATGCCTGGACCCACAGTGGGTTACGGAGGCGCCTCAGTTTGTCCTCGATTTGATGGAACAGTAACATGAAACGCGCAGTGACCCATACGTAGTTTAAACTAGAGAGCGGCCGACTTTCGCCGGAGACATCGCTGATAATATCGAGTTTGAGCAGATCTAACAGTTCCCCGCTGCTGAAGGGACCTTTGCTAGGATCGCTGCCACTATGTTTGTATTCCGGCATACGGGCGGTCTTGTATCCCTCGGGCAATGCAGCCAAAACGCTTTCCGGGATTCCCTGATCGTTGCTTCTCTTTTGTATTATAGACGACGTCATCATCATCGTCGCATCATCCATTCCCGCAGACCTAGCACGCTTGACTAGTTCTGTGTTCTCCATGACCTTCTTGCCTGTCACTGGATCGGTTACATGCTTGGTCTGGCCGATGCGCAGCGCAGCCAGGGCCGAGCCGATAGGAAATTCTTCATCGGGAATACGGTCAGGAACCCAGTCTGCCTCACGGTAGAGCCTCAGCAAGGACTTAGTCTTGAAGAAACGATTGATACAAGGATTCAGAAGACCGTGGATGTCGGTTGCGGTTCGACCGACATGCCGTCGGATTGTCCGTCGGTGGAAAGTTGCTCGACGAGAGCCCGTCTCGTCAATCACAGCAAGGAAGGCTTGATTGAAATCAGAGTTGGGTACATTGCCATTGGCGAAGAATGAGGTCTTGAAGAGCTCCTGCAGGCTATCGTACAATCCAATTGGTTGTGTGATATAACCCTTCTGCACCAGCATGTTGTGGAGGTGTATGAGACACATCGGTTCTGGTATACTATCCCATATGAGGAAACTCACGCCGTATGCCAGTTCTAGTGCTTCCATCAGACCAATACCGCAAAGAAATGGAGAATATTCCCAGAGCCCGTTAGGGTTTGTGTTCGAAAAGCGAGATGGAGGGATAGTCTTCAAGCCATACATATACTTAGTTTCTCCGAGCCAATTCACAAAGTCATCGCGTAGTTCTACCAGGAGCTCTGAATGTTGCTTGTGTCGATTTGGGTCTCCATGCAGCATAGCATCCTTCTCGAAAAATTGGACTAGCACGTCAACCCCATTGCAGAACCCATTAAGAGGTCTCTCGTTGTTGCGATCCATGAAGAGATCGACATCTCTTCTCGGACGGAAACTCTGAGCAGGTGGAATAAGAGAACATGGCCTCCGAGAATATCGAGCGACCAGTCCCGGGACACGGTCAGAGAATCAACGATGCACTGGAGCTGGAAAACATGATGAGGAAGGATCTTGTGTCGAATATCGGTACCAGGCTTCTGCATCGCTAGACCAGTGATGTCGCCACCAAATTCGTTCAACCCGAACAATCTTCGATGTTCATTCCATATTCCATTGACAGACCAATCTACTGTCTCAAGGGCGATCTTCTGCCCTTTTAGCGTCCTGCGTTGTACAATAATTGAAGAAAAGACGTTGACCAAGGCTCGCCGGAATCGGGAATACTTCTAACCGAAGAAAACTGGGTGAAGCAGTTTTGAGACTGGTAAAAAAAAACGTTGCCTTCACAAATCCTTTTTAAAAAACAGTACGACAAGAGAAGTTCCAAAGCCATAGCCAAAGGAGTCCAGATGGCGGAGCGCATCATTCACTCTTAGGAAATAATGATCTTGGCAAGCCTAATACTATTGCAAGGAGCAGCCAAACCAAAGGGCAGGGGCAGCAAAAGCGACAGCCACCCCCAGTCCCAGTCGGGTCACGGAAGACTTCCATTGATTGATTCCCAAGTTTGGAGGATTGTTACTTACTAAAACAGGAAGGAAATCTTACTATCTGCGACCTCCGTCAGACCAGACGCGTCAAACTGATGGGAACCCTAAAACTTAACTTAATTTAGTAAATAATATAATATTGTTGAGAAACGCAAGACAAGATGATGCTTCAAAATTTAGGTAGGCGTATTTCACTATTAAACTATTATTGGTGCAATACGATAAATTAAATTATTCATCGGATCTCTAATAAATGTTATTGGTCATCTGAGAATCCAGCCCTCGCCTAGGTCGGAGCAAATGTCGAGTCTCGGGCCCGAAAGCGAATCCAACCCTCCGAAAGTCATCGCTATACTCCGTATCACTGTTGTTTTCGGCTCCGACACACAGCGTCTCTAATACAACCATATGGAAATTCGCGGTTGATCTCGTAGCTTTTTTTTTCTAACAGGAAAAAAAAAGTAGTATATAAATTGGCATTGTTTTTTTTCCTTCTTTTCATCATGGCTTTGTGGCATCGTTGTCGTCATCTGCAGTCATTGATAAAATCATCACTGTAATTGCGATATATATAAAGCACTCTTTCAGATAAACCATGACACCACAACATACCGAATCCACCCCAGTCCTTATCGTAGGCGGCAGCGTAGTCGGCCTCACGGCCGCCCTCTGCCTCGCCTTCCACAACGTCCCCGTGATCCTCATCGAGCGCCATCCAGGCAGCTCCTTGTCTCATCCCCGAGCCATCGGATACACGTCGCGCACGATGGAGATCTATCGTGCTTTCGGGATCGATCATGACAAGATCCCGCAGGTCCCGCCCGATTTCAAGCTGCGTCGTGCGCGTGTCGAGAGTTTGGCGGGGACGTGGTATGAGGAGTCGGAGTGGATGGAGAAGAAGATGATGGAAGAGGAAAAGTCTTCGTTCTCCTTCCTCGACTTTTCACCCAGCTTGGGCGGAGTCATCGCGCAGGACAAACTCGAAGACATCCTCCGCGAGACTGCACTTCAGCGTGGGGGTGTTGATCTGCGGTATCAGAACACCCTCGTCGATTTCGAGCATGATGACGACGGAATCACTGCCCTCGTCAGGAACGACAAGGACGGCCAGGAATACACGCTGCGGGCATCCTATCTGATTGCCGCCGACGGCCATCGCAGCCCCGTGCGCGAGAAACTGGGCATCCAGCGCGCAGGACGCGGGCATATGCAGACCACCAACAGCGTGCTCTTCCGCGCGCGACCTTCCATCGACGAGTACCTGCAACGCGGCGTTTCCCAGTTCAGCATCGACCAGCAGGACTTCAAGGCGTTTTTGACGAGCTACCGTGACGGCCGCTGGGTGCTCATGTTTCCCGACGACGACGACGTCGACCGCGACGAGGAGACTCTGAAATCCCTGATCTACAGAGCCGTCGGCCGGTCGGATCTCGACGTAGAGATCATCACCACCGGCCGGTGGGAGATGACGGCTCTGATCGCAGAGAAGTTCCAGTCGGGACGCATCTTCCTGATGGGTGATGCGGCGCACACGCTGCCTCCGAACCGGGGTGGCTACGGCGCGAATACCGGCATTGCGGACGCCCACAACCTCGCCTGGAAACTGGCTGCCGTCCTGTCTGGTGTGTCGATGCCAGAGCTGCTCGAGACGTATGACCACGAGCGGCGTCCGGTGGCGTGGTTGCGACATCAGCAGATCTTCGCGCGCGCAGATTTCAAGGCCTATCTCGGGGACAATGTAAAGTTATCCGATGAAGTGATTGACGATATCGCCATGGAGCTCGGCCAGCGTTATCGATCGAAGGCTGTGCTTCTCGGTGCGGACGACGACATGCTGCCACCGGCATTACGACCAGACCAGTGGGCGGGCCAGCCGGGGACGCGCGCAGCGCATTTCTGGCTTACCAAGCCCGACGGAAAGAAAATTTCGAGCTTGGATCTGTTCCCGCGCTGCTGGGTCTTGCTTTCTGAGAGCGCAGAATGGAAAGCTGCGGCGGTGCAGGCGAGTCAGGAGTCCGGGATCCATGTCGAGCCGGTCCACGTGGGTGTCGACGTGCAACTGGACGACGACGTGGCCGTGTTTCTTCAAGCTATGGGCATTTCTGCCCCAGGCGGCGCCTCGCTGGTTCGTCCTGATGGGTACATTGCATGGCGAGCTACTGAGCTGTCGTCTGATCCTTTGGCTACGGTGAATGACGTTCTTCGTCAGGTGGCCTTCGCGAGGAGGTTGTCCTAAACACGCAAGTGCGAGGTCTTCACGGGACTGTAGGTAGAGGATCTAGGATAAAGTTTGAGATATTTGGTTTGAATATAGCATCTTATTTACTCACTTTATTTGTTCTTTTGAAATAGATATTTGCTCAGAAATCAACATGTCAGTATATCGGGCTGCTATGTCGTAGATGTAGATTCCACAACGCTGATTGGTGGCGTCAGGCCAATCGGAACGGCCCTGATCGGCGCTCCTCCGAACCAATCGGAATCGACTCCCGGTCCCACGTGACGGGCCGAGGACTGTCATTCGCGTTTTCGGTTAGTCTGGGAAATCGCCTAACCCAATCTGATCTAGAGGATTCGTCAGCCAGGCAGTGTCTGGGGTATTATGGAATCACTTATCGTTATCGCAGCTGGGATGGAATATGGATCTACTTGACGACATCTTCTTCATGGTCGACTGTGCACGTGAGGCCATTTGAACCCGCGAGAGATAAGTCATGAGTGAATCCGCAGATTGACCCAATTCTGTCCACCTCACTGGCGGTGAATTCCCAAATCATGGCCCTGCTCTCGCTGGCCCTGTGGGGGATCCTCGCAGCAGGCACCGCAGCAACGCCAGCAAAGCTCTGGAAGGAGCGCATCAAGAATGTCGTCGTCCTCGTGCAGGAGAACCGGTCGTTCGACACCTTCCTCGGCGGGCTGACCTACAACAAGAGCATTGACGGCGTGCTGAATCATCCCTATTGCAATCCGCTGGATCTTAAGGATAGGAATTCTGCCCTGGTGTGTGCTCGACCGGTCGCCGGCAATGTGGCCGCCGACGACCCCAACCATGGGATCAGCGGCGGCAATATGCAGATCTACGGCACGTACCATCCGGACGAGGACCGGATCAAGAAGGGCTACTACGATACCGATTCGGATCTCATGAAGGGATTCGTTGCGGAGCAGGCGTTCTTGTACAGCATGGACGACGCCGCGCGCGCAGCAGAGGTGATCAACTACTTCACACCCGACCATATCCCTGTCTTTGCGACTCTGGCGGAGAACTTTGTGCTCTTCGACCGGTGGTTTGCAGCTGTGCCGGGTCCGACCAATCCAAACCGTGCTTACATTACGTCGGGAACATCATACGGACACGGATACAATGATGTCGACTTCGATACGTCGGCCCTCCCGCAACGGTCCATCTTCCAGCAGCTGACGGAGAAGGGCATCTCCTGGATCAACTACTCCAACGCGACGGGCTTCCTGCCCGACGCCCTGTTCTACCGCTGGACGGTGGAGTCTGGCGCGGCGCGGACAAACGTCAAACCCATCGAACAGTTCTACGAAGACGCTGCCCAGGGCACGCTGCCGCAACTCACGTACATCAATCCGGAGTGTTGTGTATGGCAGTCCTTCCACCCGCCGTCGCCCGTCAGCGTGGGCGAGGGCTTCGTGAAAAGTGTGTACGAGGCGCTGCGGGCGTCGCCGCAGTGGAACGACACGCTGTTCATTTTGACGTTTGATGAGCATGGCGGGTTTGCGGATCACGTAGTGCCGCCGGTGAACGTGCCTCGGGGAGATGAGCTGACCTACACGGAGACCGCTCCCGATGGGCGGTCGATCACGTTCGACTTCACTCGTCTGGGGATGCGGGTGCCCACGCTATTGATCTCGCCGTGGGTGGACCGCGGGATCGTAGTCAACAAGCCTTCGACCAGGGGCGAGTATACGCATACGTCGATTCCGGCCTTTCTCGCTAAGCTCTGGGATCTTGACATCTTGACGAATCGTGTGGGCTGGTCTGCGACGTTTGAGGATTTGATATTGAGTGAGTTGAGGGCTGATACGCCGGAGAAATTGCCCGAGCCGGCAGACTTTTAAACTTGGCTTAGCCTCGTGAATTGACGATAGCGTGGCTGATAAGCTTGGTTCATTTTTTTTCTTCGATGAATGGTATATGGTATTGATGGTATGAGATATGTATATATAGAGAATCTAATAATATAGTAAGAAAGAACACCGTATATGGTACCGAAGAAGACCGCTACTTATTATGATTCAGATCTCGTATAACGTGATTATGATTCCTTCATACATTCATCACATTCATCAATTCATTAGTTCCAGACATTATAAGCATGAAACTCTATAAATGCCGTTGCTAAATTTCACCATCCTTGGTAAGTGTCAAATATGAATTGTTGTTCGTGAACGTAGAACATCATCCGCAGTGACGACTTTGGCGATAGGAGTGGGAATGGCATATGACTCGCACTCGCGTTTCTCGTCTTGATTCTGATTGCTTGATTGTTGCCGCAGTCCTGTTTCCAGGTCCAAGTCGGATGGCGGTCGATTATAATGGTCATAGGAAGAAAACTGATGATAAAAGGCGTTTCTGTGACAGGAAATGCTCGTATCATCGTTTGGATCTAAGTGGATCGACGCAAAGGTCGAAACTGTCCCAGTCCCCGTCTGCACACAGCGCTGCAGCCAGTAGCTGCGCATGCGGTCGAGGGCGGTCTTGAAGTCGTCCAGGATGACGGTGTCGCAGAGGCATTTGAAGACGAATGATAACTATACACGTATGAAGGTTAGTTATCTGCAATTAATTACAGTGACAAGGAACATACCCTCCAGAACGGTTCAATGCCATCCGGCAGGAAAACAGAGAAGACGTGTAGTACGCTAAGGGTGTCGACGACGAGGAATGCGATCGACAGACACATAGAGAGCAGCATGATGCCGAACCGCGGCGCGACCCGGACGAGCTCGAAGAGGCCGAAATTGTACTCCTTTTTGATGGTGTAGAAGAGCGAGCAGGTCGTGAAGATCCACCAGGGGTCACTGTCCGCAGTCAGCAGGAAAAACAGAATGAACAGAAGGTTTGGAACGAAAGAGCTGTAACCCACCGAAACAGTGGCTCCAGAGGCCTCGTCTTGAGAAATATATCATTGATGTTGTTGTAAAACGCAAAATTGACATAGGTCTCCATCACCCAGTACGGCTGCACCAGGGCGACGGTCACAATATAGAAGATCGAAACGCGTCGGGACAGGAAGGGCCTGTTCTTCAGCCAAGCGATCACGTTGTGCAAGCTCCATGAGATGTACAGCCCGATCAATCCGAACAGGTACCAGCCCGGGAAGTTGTCCTTGGAGGAGAAGGTAATTGTGCTGCTGGCCATGGCGAGAATTAACTGACGAACATGACGATAGTCAGTAGAAGTCAATTTTTTTGGATAAATGCGAGTAGAGAGGTGTATAAGATAGTAAATACCTCTGTCAAAATCAACTTGTGTAGCAGTACGCGCTTCCTCATGTTCGCAACCGTTATAGCCAACATCACCAGAAGGGAGCCTATTACCGAGCCCTGAACCCAGGCCTCGAGAAGGACACCCTTCAGTTCCACGGGCCGGATGCCCCCTGTGGACGCGGAGTTCGATGGAGACATGACAGTGTCTCGTGTCAATTCAATTTTGGACACGACGAAGATAAGGACTATGATGGCGACGAAGACATCTGCCTCAAGACGAGCACAGATCAGAGAAGAGGACATGCTGCAGCGACAGCAGAGGAGTAGGGTGGAACCAGGCGAGTTTTTGTAGCGAGTCGCCGCACCAGCCACAATCCTGTCAAAGAGAAGGAACGCTGGGCCGTGCCTTCCTCTGACGAATGTGCGGCGGAAGGAAAGCGCCGCCTTGCCTCGGCGCAGAGAGAGACACAAAGAGATTTCCGCCTGGGGCAGTTGCTCGATTGCAGGCACAGACAATAAGCACATGTATCATGAGGTATCATGAGGACTATGATCCTCATCACAAACAGAACAAATAGACAGAGAATGCTAGCGATATCCCCTTCCGGCCTGCCGAATCCCGGGCAGCGAGGGGCGTCTTCATATTGAACCGACGAGAGTAGGGTTAGTGAAACATGTGTACTGTACATGCACTTGACGAGACTGACGTGAGTGGCATGCATGCGACAAACAGCGTCATAGCGATCTGCAGTCGATCTGTCCGGGGTAATTAATTTCTGCAGACGACATGACGGTAGTCAGATGTCGGAGAGTCGGTGAGTCGGTGACTGTCTCTCCGCACATACATTTACCTACCGAGGCAGGTAGCGACATTAGTGTGTTCTTTTTTTAGATTGATCGACTGCCGAAGCATGCGTCTGTAGGCCCATCCAAATTTACTGTGTATGTGTGTGGTGTTCTTTTGTGTTTGCGTTTCTCTGGTTTCCCGAAGAGGAATGTCGACGAAGGCGATGAAAATCATCTATTTCGATAAAGACGAGAACTCCTAGCTTGATAAGATTAGAGACGATAGCTATGGAAGGTCGAAATCATGAGATTGATTTTAGTCTGATATTAGGATAGCCGAAATCAGGATTTTGACAGGGTTGTTACCATTCCATCCTTCCCTTTCATTGTCTCGGATAAGTGCCGGCTTCACCAGTCCCATCGCTTTGTTCATCGGACATAACATACAAGACTCTACATCCAGGGTAAGTCTCGTTTTGGTAAGTAAGTACCTCGGACAGTCCAGATCTGATAATAGTTCTTTGATCTGTATCGATCTAATATTTCTGTCCGGAAAAGGATGTTTCTGGACATTTATCATCCTGCTCGACCTAACTTCGAGTTAGTCATTAAACTCCAGGGACAATTTGTATACTCACGAGAGCCTTCGATGATAAAAACAGTCATATAGTTCCAATCAATTTTGCGCGGACCACATGTCTGAAGCTAGTAAAATGTTCTTTGCATCTCACAAGTGATTCATATCAACCCCATAAACGCTTACTTAAGATCTTTTCCAATATTCCTGCCCGTCTCGACGCCCACCAGCACTCTTTCTGGGGCAAAATAATATTCACAGCGCGATAGAAATGGTACATCAGCAAAAGGCTTCTCTGGTCACCTTCAGCCAGCATGTCGATGAATGGCTGTTGGCACAACAAGGGAAAAGCATAGAATGTCCGAGACACGTCGTCTAGAAGCTCTGGATGAGTTTCCACTACAACGGCTCGGATTCTCCGATTCTCTTTGGCAGGAGAGCGAGCAGCAGACAAAGCCGCGGCACAACGTTACGGTATGCCTCATGGGGATCATCCGTAGTGTGATATTTGGGTGCCACGTAATTCAGAGCAATATAGCGATGAGAGAGCTTCGGCGTGTCGGGCAGTGGCGGTAGCTCTCTGCTTCAGCCGCTCCGGATTATCATAGCACTCATTTAGAAAAGCTTCATAAGGCGACGGATCTCGGCGGAGAGCAAAGATCGCGTCCTGAATCGGAGAAGTAGGCCTATAGGTCATCTGTGCCAGGAAGATGGAAGTTTTGTGAGGTATAAGTGACATGGCAGATATAAAGATGTGCACCATGCCGGCTCTCAAGGCGAAGAGTTGGTCCTTCGAGGCGTCATAGCCGGCCGCAACGTCGGGATTTTCTGCTGAGAGAAAATCTGTACTGGCCCAAGCCTCATAGTGTAATAAAGCAGAAGTGCAGAGGATCGCGTCGAGGTTTGCGTCGGTAAGCGGCTGGGACAATGCTTCCCGAAACAGACGCAGAGCCTCTGAGAGATGGGTCCTTGCGATAGTCGTGTAGCTCGCTTCCATGGGGGAAAGATAAGCTAGATGTCGGGCCGAGATACACAGTATGGCGTGCATGAGGAATTCGTATTCAAAAGAGAACTTCAGGGCTTCGTTCCATATTTGGCGAGTAAAGGAAAGAGTTTGATAGGTAAATGATTCGAAATGGTGGAAAAGTTTCATGTGTAATAGATTCACTTTTGTGGAAACGCTTCCCAGAATCTGCGGTGTCATGGAAGCTGGTACAGATGATGACGATGACGTCGAAGGAGTTGGTGAGACGCTCTGACAGCGAGCCGGACGCCAGCATTTTTCGCCTCTCTTGACGCAGCGCGAGCAAGACGGAAATCTTTCATCGCACTGGCAGAGAGCAGATCAGTTCCGTGACTAGAGAGAGGAAGTACACAAGAGCGACACGCAGTCAGGGTATAATTGACTTGTTTCAAGACTCACTTTGACTCTTCTCCTCTTACAAGGGAGGTACCCATTGCGCGACTTGCGATGAGGCCTCTTACGCCTTGATTCTAAATTTTGGTCCGGGACCTGCTCCAGCAGCCTGTCACCGGCCAGAAGAAAGACGCTGGAGAACTCCTGCAGTGGAGGCGACATCGATGATCCAAGGAATCAGATTATCGCGATACTGCACGGAGGCAATTGGATACCAGAGATTGACTCTCCGGTCGGAAACGCGTTATTTTCTCCTTTTCCATCTGTCATTCGCAAAAGGACACGAAGGCATTAAAAAAAAGGTGGTTTGCTTCTTGTTCAGCTGATCAGAGGAGGGATCGCGCTAGACTGACTCGGGAAGTTTGCGACCGTGACCTCGCATTCCCAATTCGGAAAACGAGACTGCGAGGTCACATGGCATGGTCGCTCTTTCCCATATTCAGCTGAATTTCAATGAACGACATGTTGTGGACGTTTGTCAATACAAGCTCGTTTTGCCAAATATCCATTGGCTGCAAGGAAACAAACCAAAAGTACGTTCCATAAACTGGCGGGGTCCAAATCGATGATGAATTGAATTGTTATAGCTTGCAGGGAACCTCAGGCGTCCTGTGCAGAATACCAGAGTGGCTCCAGACACTCCAGAATTTGGCAATAACCGTCCAGCCATTTCCAGGAATTATACAAGATGGGATGATAGAAACACAATTTGCTTCGCCCTGCATCCTCTGAAATATTGGCCATCTGACAATGGCTTCAAAACCTCCAGCCAAGCTCAGTGTTCAAATCACAAGTGTTTTGAAATATCGCCAGCCTCTGCAGAATACGCCAGCATGGAATCTCCCTGTCAGCCCTACGGTCTACCGTACAATATGTATGTACGTTAATACGGAGCAGGTACATGGATGAAACCCCGTTAATGTTCCTCGTATTCTGTCCTAGACCCTGATTACTAATGGCCGCCCACGGCAATGCCTTACCTATTTCGTCAAGGTTTCCATCCGCATGGGGCATGGCGCGTGTAAACCCCACGCTGGGTCCACCGCGCATCTGCCAATCAGAGCCCGGCGTCACAACAGTCAGATCGCGATAACGATGGATACGATCACGTCATCCATCAGAGGTCCAGATCGATCGACAACGACACTGACAGCAGATTTTTTAATTTTTCCTGCTCAAAATGGCCGTGATGAGATGAAAGATATTACTTGTGTTCGAAACTTGACATTTTTTTGTTGACTGCTTTTCTTTGTCTTCGGTTTTCTTCCAGGTCCATACATGGTACTGTACAGTACATCTCCGCGCGGCTGGTTAATCGTGAGTGGAATGCAGCGTCAGAACATTAGAACACTTGTGTTACTGCGCTGTTTATAGAACTGGGCTTTTCTTCTTCGAATACTTCTTCGAATAACGCCTTTGATGCGTTTTGTGTTCTTCCACACTCCACCTGGATACGAAAGATTACCATCCAGCATGGCGACAACGGAAGACGACAGCAAAGGGCACGGGGACCCCCAAGTCTCCCCCCAGTCGCCGCCTAAGCTGAGAGATCCTCAGATCTTTTCAGATTCGACAATGCAGGACGACGCCAACGACGCCATCGACGAGGGTGCTCTTCCCAAGGGCACCTTCGACCCTGTATACGAGGCCAAGGCCCGCGTGCTGAATCGTGCCATCCAAGACATTGGAATGGGCCGATACCAGTGGCAGCTCTTCGTCGTGATAGGCTTTGGCTGGGCGAGTGACAACCTCTGGCCAATTGTTACATCGCTTATATTGACCCCCGTCGCCGACGAATTCTCCCCTGCGCATCCGCAGCTGCTGACGCTCGCCCAGAACATCGGCCTGCTGGTCGGGGCCATCTTCTGGGGATTTGGCTGCGATATCTTCGGTCGCCGGTGGGCGTTCAACCTGACTATCGGTATCACCGCCGTGTTTGGCCTTATTGCGGCTGGCTCGCCCAATTTCGGGGCCATCTGCACGTTTGCGGCCCTCTGGTCGGTGGGAGTCGGCGGCAATCTCCCTGTTGATTCGGCCATTTTCCTTGAGTTTTTGCCTGGATCGCACCAGTACCTGCTGACGATATTGTCTGTTGACTGGGCGTTTGCGCAGCTTGTTGCAAACCTCGTTGCGTGGCCGCTGCTGGGCAACTTGACCTGTCAGCAGGACACCGTGTGCACACGCGAGAAGAACATGGGCTGGCGATACTTTATGATCTGCATGGGCGGCCTGGCTATGATTATGTTCGTCGTCCGGTTCGTCTTCTTCCGCATCTACGAGTCTCCCAAGTACCTGATGAGCAGAGGACGGGACGCGGAAGCCGTGGCGGTCATTCACGAAGTCGCGCGACACAACGGCAAGACGTCGACCCTTACCCTCGAGGACCTGTCGAGGTTCGACGTCGATGCCGATCCCCAGACGCAGGGTGCCTTGACTTCGGCTTCTGCAGCGTTGAAACGCAAACTTGAACAGGTCAACTTTACACACATCCGGTCGCTATTCTCATCCGTCAAACTGGTCATCTCTACATCACTGATCACCGTCATCTGGGCGTTCATCGGCCTGGGTTTTCCTCTGTACAACGCCTTCCTGCCGTACATCCAGGCGACGCGGGGCGCGGAATTCGGCGACGGCTCGACGTACATCACTTACCGGAACTCCCTGATTATCGCCGTGCTGGGCATTCCCGGATGCTTGCTGGGTGGACTGCTTGTGGAGTGGCCCAGACTTGGCCGAAAGGGGACGTTGTCGGTGTCGACGGCGCTGACGGGGGTTTTTCTGTTTGCGTCGACGACGGCGCTGAATTCGAACAGCCTCCTGGGCTGGAACTGTGCCTACAATTTTATGTCCAACATCATGTACGCCGTGCTGTACGCCTACACGCCCGAGGTTTTCCCGACCAAGGACCGCGGCACGGGCAATGCCATTACAGCGTCGGCGAACCGCATCTTCGGCATCATGGCCCCGATTGTCGCCATGTTTGCCAATCTGCAGACTGCCGTTCCAGTGTACGTGAGCGGCGCACTGTTTATCGCTGCAGGGGTCATTGCCATTGTGTTGCCGTTTGAGTCGAGAGGGAAGGCCAGTTTGTAATTATCAAGAATCTTGTGTAGAGTCGCATATTCCTTCTCCCTGTTCTTTCTGAAGATTACTCATCTCAATCGAGTCAATAGACTTTGGACCATCTGTTATCCTTATGTAGCGCTAATCCTTGTGTTTTGATTGAATTCAGGCATGTGGTGTATGATGGTGATTGATTATCTAGATAAACACCGTTGCCTCGATAGTAGTAAGGTCCTATTATTTAAAAGAAAAAACAATAGGTCTCTATTTTGAATAATTACTGTAAAATTTCAAATAAATTGTATTTCACCTTTTTTAATATAAAAAAGAAAATACATCTATGTTCATGTCTAGAAATGAAAATCAATTAATCTAGTTTTTCAAAAACGGGTGGAAATGCAAACTCATGAACTAGAACGATGCTTGCTATGGCTTCAGCCACCTTTGGTAACGCGGATGCCTAATCGAATCAACACGTCTCAAGAAGGTACATAATTAGAAAACGACAACTAAACCGCTCTGTCAAAATGCAAATCAAGCGCACATACTGCAGCAGACATGGCACTCAAAGACCTCATCCGGTCAAGATGGTCTCGACTGGTTACGGTATGTTTTGATGACCATGTTATATTCTCTCTGCTAATACATGTGCTAACAACTGCCCCACCTGCAGAAGGAGTCTGACAGTTCACCATGGCCACCAACACTACAGACTGCAGATGCCCAGAATTCATCTCTTCTGATGATACTGCCACCTGAGATACGTCTTCGTATCTATGAAATGCTCTTTGGCGGCCGCATTATCCACCTTGTCTGCTATGAGCAGCGGCCCCGGACGAAATCCCGTCTTGGAAGGTGGAAGGATAATGCATGCCGGCTGCGATGGTGGCATTGTGTGTGTTCATGCGAAAGAGGAGAGAAACTGTCAGATTGGTCGGAGACGACAATTGCTTTCTACAACTGTAGTTGCACGAAGCTGGTTTATGGTGCAGCAGCGCAGCAACGGTATGAGTTAGTCGAACAAGTGGAAAAGATACACACCGCGCTCCTGCAAACATGCCGACGGATCTATCTCGAAGCTGTACCCATACTCTACGCGACCAACACGTTCTGCTTTGGCGAGGGGTCATCATCATTATCATCACCATCGTCCAACGTCGAGGTACTTCTAAAGTTCAAGCAGATGCTCACTCCTGACCGATTTGACCTGATCACGTCTGTCGAAATCCATTACAATGTCGGCGAATCGCCGGATGATCCAAAGAGAGCCGGGTATGAAACCCTGTGGGAGATGCTTATGGCGATGCCGAATCTGCGCAACTTGAGCGTTGCAGTCATGGTCTATCACACGAGTATCGAGTCAATGACCTTAGAGGAATTCCACCGCTTCCTCAGGGCTCCCCTGGAGCGGCTGAGGGAAAAGAAGAAGAAGAAGGAACAGCTGAAAAAGGTTACCTTTTACACTTCTGCCTCTTATGCCCCCTTCTTGACCAAGGATACAGACGTGTTTGAGACGTATGAGCTGCGGGCAGAGATGCCTGATAATCTCATTCAGCTTTGTTTTACTGGGCCTCCGATTCCCAGTGCTGGTCGTCGTTTTCGTAGTACGATTTTGCCTACTTGAATATTGTCGCTGTCAGATATAACTATAGTTATAAGTCTTCTACGGACGAGGAGACACTCTCATGGAAAGACTTGCCCTTGCCCATAGCTGATGAATGTCTTGCCACCGCTGGCCAACGACGACAAGCTGCACGGATACGCTGATTCACCGACTTCTTTGAACGGCAGGGGACTGCTGTACAGGACATTATTCCATTATTCTGTGTATGCCATCGTTATTCAGTAGAGTACGGAGCACCAGCATACGGAGTACCAGTGCTGTAGATCAGCCCAGTCGCAATATACACCAAATCGGTCCTAGTATGATCTCCACTGGATCCTAATAAAATTCATATTCCACGAATTATTGTCCTTATCCCTGGATTGTGCATACTATTAATCATGCACAACGTACGCCGTCCCAGCAGTCTGGACGAGCGCAAGTGTTGGGCCGCGACAGCCGAGGCAATTTTTCCCCGAACCGGCAACGCCATGTCGATCCGCCAACAACGCCGACTCTCCTGTGCAGATCTCTCTCCGCCCGGAACCATTTCCAATCCCGACGAGTCCTCCGCCCTGGCGGCCTGCCAACAGTCGGCGCTCGAAGGAAGGGGCAGGCAAACCGAGGGACATGTGAAGAGGCTGGCGTGACGCCTCATTTCGTGCAGGACAGCAGAGCAGCCGTCTTATAAGTTGCAACTCGCTGGCCGCCGGTTTCCCCTTCGGTGAGCCCCTCGTTCATGCTCGTCCTTGAGATTTCTCTCTGACTGATCGGCCACTTTTTCGCTCGCGACAGTCCCACGCCGACTCTGAATCTCGTCATGAACGGTCACGCGAACGGCCACGCGCCCGGGTCCGCGGAGACACACGTCGACGTCGCCATCATCGGGGCCGGCATCTCAGGCATCAACGCCGCCTATCGAGTGCAGACGAGCCTGCCAGCATACTCGTACACCATCCTCGAGGCCCGGGGCGCCATTGGAGGAACGTGGGATCTCTTCCGCTACCCAGGCATCCGCTCCGATTCGGATCTCTACACCTTCGGATTCTCGTGGCATCCGTGGAACAAGGACAATCCCATCGCTGATGGCGCCTCCATCTCCAAGTATATGCGAGACACTGCCGCGAAGTACGGCATCGACCGCCATATCCGGTTCCACCATCGTCTGGTTGCGGCTGACTGGTCCTCTGACAAGCGGTCGTGGACGCTGACTGTGGAGGCAGACGGGCAGACACGGTATTTCCAGGCGCGGTTCATCATCTTTGGGACTGGATACTATGACTACAACGAGCCTCTGCAGACCGTGATCCCTGGTCTGGAGCGATTCAAGGGCCGCACCGTGCACCCGCAATTCTGGCCCGAGGACCTCGACTATACCGACAAGAAGGTGGTGGTGATTGGCAGCGGCGCGACCGCTGTGACCCTGGTGCCAGAGCTGGCAAAGAAGGCTGCTCGCGCGACCATGTTGCAGCGCAGCCCGACCTATATCATGACCCTTCCCAACAGGTCTCGAGGATGGTTCAGCTGGCTGCTGCCATCCGTGATCCAGCACAAGCTCAAGCGCATCGGATGGATCCTCACCTCGCGTCTGTTCTTCCTGTTCTGCCAGAACTTCCCCAATGTGGCTAGATGGGTGCTGCGCCGACACACCATGAGGCAATTGCCCGCGCACATCCCCCACGATCCTCATTTCAAGCCGCGGTATAATCCCTGGGACCAGCGGCTGTGCGTCTGCCCGGACGGGGATTTCTACGAAGCCCTGCGGTCGGGTCGCGCAGACGTCAAGACCGACACGATCCGGACCGTGACGGAGCATGGCATTGACCTCAACTCGGGGGAGACGTTGGAGGCGGACATCATCGTCACGGCGACGGGGCTCAAGCTGCTGATTGCGGGAGGGGCGAAGATCATCGTCGACGGCGAGAAGATCGACATCTCGGACAAGTACCTCTGGAACGGGGTGATGCTGCAGGATGTGCCGAATGCGGCTTATGTGATTGGGTACACGAACGCGTCGTGGACGCTGGGCGCCGATGCCACGGCGCTGCTCGTCTGCCGTCTTCTCAAGTACATGGAGCGAAGGAACATTGTCGCTGCGATCCCGCGCGTGGACGATCCGACCAAGCTCAAGCCGCAGAAGCTGCTGAACCTGAACTCGACGTACATCTCGGTCGCGGAGAAGTCCCTGCCCAAGGCGGCTCAGGTGTCGCCGTGGCTGCCGCGGGGCCATTACATCAGTGATCTATTCAAAGCGTTGTTTGGACGGCTGGACACGGGGTTGGAGTTGGTGACGGGGCCAGCACGGCGTTGAAGAGCAGAATACTTGTTAGTTATTGTTATTGTTATTGTTATGTTGTTATTATGGGTTCATGGACTGCCATGATATTGTTACGATGAGTATCATTAATATACTGGATCGATATGATATATATTTATGCCTGTAGAATATCAGTATTATGAATATATTTGTTAGAATCTTAGGGGTTATTGAAGTATTTCTCGTCTCCCCCTTTTTGGATAGCATCTCACTACTCCTTCAGGAAAACCAATGACATTATCGTCTCACCTAACACTGACACTGCCAGACTCGATGGATTGTCTCGACACGTCAGTCCTTAAACAAGGGTTCAAGGAGGGAGAAAATCCCGAGCCGCGACTCCCGAATGGGAGTGGGGAGTGGAGAGAGATCGATCCAGGCTATCCAGCCTTGGAAGTCAGAAAGCTCCCTACAGTTTTACGTGCAGGTGCACGGACCCAGCCCCAGGTGAATTGGAATACTGACTGCGCGCAGATGAACCGAGGCACAGCGTTAGTGTCCTGTGGCACACGCGGGGAAGGGAAAGCTGCGTGATTCTGTGGAACAGAACTTAAGTGGCTTGCTGTGGACTTGGCTCAGGAGGTTCCAAGGTGTACAAACTCACAGCTTATAGGTATAAGCATACTGTATAGATACAGGTACGTATGGGATTTACGTATGGGATTCTAAGGGGAAATCTTGATGATAATTTAACATTTACTGTCATACCAGGTATATATCCATTCCAATACGGACAAATCTCCAAGAAGATCGGCGTCAATTATTGTTCAGAATCCTGGTCCTATCTCTGGAATATTGACCGATCCATCAGTTGATTGATTTATGCGTCTGGTTTAATTATATCCACTGCGTTGATTGCTTTTTTCTTCTGTTCGCGCCGAATCGATCGATCAATTTCGAGCAATCTATATATCCCTACTAATACGACGACTACGATAATCCACCCTTCGTCTCGGCCATGTCAGTGACAAAGCAACCGCCGAAAAAGATCTCCCTCGCAGAGGTCATCGACATCATCCCGGGGCTTCTCTCCATCACCGCCACGGGCATCTTTGCCCTCGTCACAGGGCCGTTTCGGCACCGCAAGCAGCGGAAGAATCCGAAGCAGGGCGTCGCGCGAACCCTGCTCCTGCACGTCGGATACGCCGTCCTGCGCAAGGCGACGTTGCGTCTGACGTTATTGCAGCTGCAGTGAGTGTGCCTGCTGCTTGTATATATATCTAGCTGTATGCGGGCTGATGTGGCGTTTTTTTTTTCAGATTCATCTTCCCAAAAACCGACACGACTTATCGGCTCTTTGCCTGGCGATCTGGCATCGCGAACCAGACGGTAGATCTGGGCCATGGCGCCCAGGGGCATTGGATTGGGAATAAGGATGCGAAAAATGTCTTGATCTGGTATCATGGTGCGTAGCAATACATCCGAAAGAAAGGAAGGAAGGAAAATATCGATCTGATCCGATCCAATCTGACTTGTGCAGGCGGCGGATTCGCCGTCCCCGCCAACAGATGCTACTTCCAATTCCTGGCGGGCGTGGTCAAGGCGATGAACCAGGCCGGCAAAGACCTGGCCGTTTTCGTCCTCACTTACACGCTCACCCCGCACGCCTCGTGCCCGACGCAGCTGCAGCAGGCGGTCGCGTGTCTGCGGTACATGCTGCAGACGGGCCGCAGCCCGGGCAACATCTACCTAGGCGGCGACTCGGCGGGCGGGAACCTGGTGCTGGGCGTGCTGTCGCACATATCCCACCCACACGCCGAGATCGACCAACTGTCCGTGTTGTCGGAGGCATTCGGCGGCGCCGTCCTCATCGCCCCCTGGACCGATCTCCGCACGGAGTACCCGCCGCCGGAGACGGCTCCTCTCGGCGACTTGATCACGCAGGACGTGGCGAAGAAGTGGGCGACGGCGTACCTGAACGGCCGGAGGAGGGACTACTACACGGACGCGTCGTGGGCACCGCCCGAGTGGTGGGAAGGGCTGAAAGTGAAGGACGTGTTGATCCTTGCGGGAGGAAACGAGATTCTGTTGCCTGTGATTGAGGATTTTTACGCAGAAAATTGAGGGTAAGCAGATGTCCCGTTTGAGCTCTACCGTCTTACTGACTCGCCGCTGGACAGGCCGGCTTCCCGTCCGTAACGCTCTTCGTCGGCCCCGGCGAATGCCACGTCGCGCCCATGTTCAACCTGCTGCTAGGCGACCGGACCGAGACGGAGCAGGGGAAGAAGCTGAAGTCGTGGTTGAGGGAGCTGCTGTGAGATTATATATACCCGTTGCATGTTGGTTGGTTAGTGCTGTATTGAGATGGATTGCATATTGGTTAGTCGTGGTTTGCTTAGGGTTAAATTGATATCAAACTATATATATACTACGGAGTATCTACTTAATATTAGTAGGCGGAATAATGAATTATTATTGACATAAACAGGCATTTATATGCATGCTTTATACATGGGTTGAGGAAATTTCCTCTTTGCTTTGGTATGAATGGTCACCACCATAATCATATATGCATCTTTTCGTTAGTACGGAACAATAATTATGGACCTTATGGTCTGCGGAGGTTATCCAGAGTATCCAGATAGATAGATAGATACAGCGAGTCCTCCCTTGCTATATACACAGACAGATATATATATATAGCATGATTAAGTTAACTTTTTCTTTTTCAGTTATGATTACTGCAAGATGTGTTGTTAACGCAATTATGATTATGATTATATGCAGTCAACTCAGCAGGCACTACTCTTTTATGTGAATGCTCTAAGTTTGTTTTCTATTTTTTTAAAAAAAAAATAAAAATAAAAAATAACAAAAAAATAAAATAAAAGGCACATACGTTCTCTCTCTCTCTCTCTACACGCATGTATAGTATACCTGTACTAACTAACTAGTACTGACATGGCTACTACGACTACTACTCCGTACTTAGGTACATAACTCTGTACCTTGATAGACTAGACTATTACCTGCAAAAAAAAGTAGAAATAAAGCCAAAGACCAAAAAAAAAAAGAAGAGAGAGAGAGAGAAGGGAAAAGGATACTAATAGTCTGTCACAGCATGTTGCTTTTCCCTTCTCTCTTTTTTT